TGTCTGATATACATACATGCTCGCTGTTTGCAGTTTTTCAGCTTTATTTTGAGAAGATCGAAATGTTTTATTATGGTCAGAGATTTGAAATAAAAGACTTCTGTTGCATCACAGAGAAACCATTACAACCATCGTTTCTCATGTTTAGCTGCTGTTTTGATTTCCATCTCATTAAAACTGTCTGGAAAAACATCAATAACTTGCTAATCAGATATTGGCTGTGGAGCAAGTTAATAAAGTTTAATGATCGTAGATGAGAAATATGTATTTAAAGAGAAATATGTGTGTTGTTTTTTTGTCAACTGACGACTATTGATTCATTTGTGTTTGTTTATCTGAGAAAAATCAGGTCCTTTAAAACTTGAATGCATTTTTTCAACTTTTCAAGGTTTCAAGCATATTCAATTTTTTAGTGTTTTAATTAAAATAAGAAAATAGCTTTTAAAATACTTCATAAAATGTTCATTTTAGGAGAAAAATCTGATCATCTAAAAAAATCTAATCTTGTCCAAATTAAAAATTTCAAGAATTTCAATTAGAATAAAATGAAAATAGCTATTAAAATATTTCCTAAATGTGTAACGTTAATTTTATTAATGTGACTTTTTCAAGTGTAACATACATTTTTATTGCAATTTATTTTATATTATATATTATATTGTAAGTATATAGTATATATAGTATAAGTATGCTTAATTCGTTGTTTTGGGGGGGAATATTAAACTTTTTAATTATACGTTATATTTTATTATCAATAATATTGTAAGAGCATAAAGAAAGTTTTTGTGGATAATAAACTTTTTTATTATATATTCTATTTATTTGTAACACTTCCATTTGAAAAAAAACATTATATACAGTATATACAGTGGGGCAAAAAAGTATTTAGTCAGCCACCAATTGTGCAAGTTCTCCCACTTAAAAAGATGAGAGAGGCCTGTAATTTTCATCATAGGTATACCTCTAGTAATGTTTTTTTAATGTCATCCTCCTCAAACGTTTGGCATGTGGTTGAATTTGAGCGAGACTTTTCATCAGAACAAATGTCCCACTGCTTTATTTTCCTCTCTGGGAATCATCAGAAATCATCAAGAGCTTAAAGTGAAATGATCCTGAACTCCAGCGAGAAGTTTCCTTGAAGGAGGGATGGAAAAGAGGCAAATGAAAGTGTGTCCGTGGATTGAAAGCGGTCTGGATTGTGTTTGAGAGTTTTCCCCATCACACCTCAGACGAGTCCAGCGCCAAACCTCAGGAATATTAGTTATGGCAAACTCTCATAAACGAGACGCTCTGTGTCAAACACTGAATAATGTGATCAGCGTGTGTGAAAGTGTTTGACAGGAACAAACAAACCCCCTTAAAGACCTGCTGAGTGAATACAGAAGATGAAATGTTCAGCAAACGTATAGAAATGATCTCAGAGGATCATGGTTCTCCAGCTAATATCACCACTGGAGCTGCACCATCTATGCAAATAAAACCAAAATCGCAATGTGGCTTAGTGCAGGTATCAAATAACAAAAGGCAGTGGTTTAATCAAATAAACATATGCTTTGCACGTTTCAGAGCATGCAACAACCATCTTTCCGAAATTGTATTGAGAAGAGTTTATAAACAACAACAAAAGAAGCTTTGTAAAGAAATTAAGACAGCCATAAATATTTGTATTGTAATTTTAAGGTTGTAATATAAACTAAAATTAGTAGTAGTAGTAGTATATTATTTTTCTTACAGTAAATACTCAAATTTTTACATTTTTATGTTTTATTTTATTTTACAGTTAAATTATTATTGTATAATAATAATTAGTAATATTTATTATTTTGTTTTTATTTAGTAATTTTTGTATTTTTATTTAGTAATAATAATTATTATGATCTTTTTTTCTGATCAAATTTTTAATTGCAATTAAAATCTAAGTGTGATTCTGATAAAAAAAATAGTGATTACTATTTAAAATTTTAGGAGAAAAATCCGATCCTCTAAAAAAATCTAATCTTGTCTGAAGTGCTTCACTTAAAATAAAAAATTATAATAATAGTAAGTATTAAAATGTGCAATTTATTAATTATTGTGTGAGTGTGTGTGTGTGTGTGTGTAGTTTGTGTGTGTGTGTGTGTGTGTGTGTTGTGTGTGTGTGTGTGTGTTTTGTGTGTGTGTGTGTGAGTATTGAGTGTGTGTGTGTGTGAGTATTGAGTGTGTGTGTGTGTCTCCCACAGTTGATTTCTTCACACCAAGCTGCTTACCTATTGGAGATTCAGTCTTCCCAGCCTGGTGCAGGTCTACAATTTTTTTTTCTGGTGTCCTTTGACAGCTCTTTGGTCTTGGCCATGGTGGGGTTTGGAGTGTGACTGTTTGAGGTTTTGGACAGGTGTCTTTTATACTGATAATGAGTTCAAACAGATGCCATTAATACAGGTCACGAGTGGAGGACAGAGGAGCCTCTTAAAGAAGTTGTTACAGGTCTGTGAGAGCCAGAAATCTTGCTTGTTTGTAGGTGACCAAATACTTATTTTACCGAGGAATTTACCAATTAATTCTTTAAAAATCCTACAATGTGATTTTCTGGATTTTTTTCTCATTTTGTCTCTCATAGTTGAGGTATACCTATGATGAAAATTACAGGCCTCTCTCATCTTTTTAAGTGGGAGAACTTGCACAATTGGTGGCTGACTAAATACTTTTTTTGCCCCACTGTACATATATATAGTAATGTTTTTTTAATGTCATCCTCCTCAAACGTTTGGCATGTGGTTGAATTTGAGCGAGACTTTTCATCAGAACAAATGTCCCACTGCTTTATTTTCCTCTCTGGGAATCATCAGAAATCATCAAGAGCTTAAAGTGAAATGATCCTGAACTCCAGCGAGAAGTTTCCTTGAAGGAGGGATGGAAAAGAGGCAAATGAAAGTGTGTCCGTGGATTGAAAGCGGTCTGGATTGTGTTTGAGAGTTTTCCCCATCACACCTCAGACGAGTCCAGCGCCAAACCTCAGGAATATTAGTTATGGCAAACTCTCATAAACGAGACGCTCTGTGTCAAACACTGAATAATGTGATCAGCGTGTGTGAAAGTGTTTGACAGGAACAAACAAACCCCCTTAAAGACCTGCTGAGTGAATACAGAAGATGAAATGTTCAGCAAACGTATAGAAATGATCTCAGAGGATCATGGTTCTCCAGCTAATATCACCACTGGAGCTGCACCATCTATGCAAATAAAACCAAAATCGCAATGTGGCTTAGTGCAGGTATCAAATAACAAAAGGCAGTGGTTTAATCAAATAAACATATGCTTTGCACGTTTCAGAGCATGCAACAACCATCTTTCCGAAATTGTATTGAGAAGAGTTTATAAACAACAACAAAAGAAGCTTTGTAAAGAAATTAAGACAGCCATAAATATTTGTATTGTAATTTTAAGGTTGTAATATAAACTAAAATTAGTAGTAGTAGTAGTATATTATTTTTCTTACAGTAAATACTCAAATTTTTACATTTTTATGTTTTATTTTATTTTACAGTTAAATTATTATTGTATAATAATAATTATTAATATTTATTATTTTGTTTTTATTTAGTAATTTTTGTATTTTTATTTAGTAATAATAATTATTATGATCTTTTTTTCTGATCAAATTTTTAATTGCAATTAAAATCTAAGTGTGATTCTGATAAAAAAAATAGTGATTACTATTTAAAATTTTAGGAGAAAAATCCGATCCTCTAAAAAAATCTAATCTTGTCTGAAGTGCTTCACTTAAAATAAAAAATTATAATAATAGTAAGTATTAAAATGTGCAATTTATTAATTATTGTGTGAGTGTGTGTGTGTGTGTGTGTAGTATGTGTGTGTGTGTGTGTGTGTGTGTGTGTGTGTGTGCGTGTACCTGGTATTTATCACGGTATGGGGACCAAATGTGTGTGCGTGTGTGTGTGCGTGTGTGTGTGTGTCTCTGTGTGTGTGTGTGTGTGTGTGTGTATATACTGTGTGTGTGTATATACTGTGTGTGTGTATATACTGTGTGTGTGTATATACTGTGTGTGTGTATATACTGTGTGTGTGTATATACTGTGTGTGTGTATATACTGTGTGTGTGTATATACTGTGTGTGTGTATATACTGTGTGTGTGTATATACTGTGTGTGTGTATATACTGTGTGTGTGTATATACTGTGTGTGTGTATATACTGTGTGTGTGTATATACTGTGTGTGTGTATATACTGTGTGTGTGTATATACTGTGTGTGTGTATATACTGTGTGTGTGTATATACTGTGTGTGTGTATATACTGTGTGTGTGTATATACTGTGTGTGTGTGTGTGTGTGTGTGTGCGTGTACCTGGTATTTATCACGTTATGGGGACCAAATGTGTGTGCGTGTGTGTGTGCGTGTGTGTGTGTGTGTGTAAAATTTTATTTAAATGTAAATCAAATTAAAATGCAAAATATTGTGATTATGTATCAATATGGCTATAACATAGTAATAATACATTTTTTATCACATTTACCATCGGAATCACAATTTCAATCTGAAAAAATGCAATCAAATTTTTTCCTCGAATCATGCAGCCCCATAACCTCTTTGCACTATGGGAGAGGAGAAGAGGCGTTTATGACGGTTTTGACTTTCATTAGAAGGAAATTTTATTTAAATGTAAATCAAATTAAAATGCAAAATATTGTGATTATGTATCAATATGGCTATAACATAGTAATAATACATTTTTATCACATTTACCATCGGAATCACAATTTCAATCTGAAAAAATGCAATCAAATTTTTTCCTCGAATCATGCAGCCCCATAACCTCTTTGCACTATGGGAGAGGAGAAGAGGCGTTTATGACGGTTTTGACTTTCATTAGAAGGAAAGCGTGAGAAACGACAATCTTTAACTCTCAGAGCAGGTCGTTTAAATCTCTGAAGCTGATTTCCAGTTCATTCTGACTGAGATTTTCTGGTAAACGTGCCGTTGGTGATCTGTTTTTCTCTCCAGTCCTGCAGGTTTGGCGGGCAGCCCGGTGATCTCGGACATCTCTCTGATCCGTCTGTCTCCGGGAGAGTCCAGCTTCTTCCCTCCGCACTCATACGTCTCTCCACACGTGGAGCATTACCTTCGCTCGGCACACAGCAGCCCCACGCTGTCCATGATCTCAGCGGCGAGAGGACTGAGTCCAGCCGACGGTCAGTCAGACTCCAGCACACAGCACTCGCTTTTCATCACTTCAGCATTTTTCTTAAATACTCTATTTTTTTGGAGGGGGGGTTGTACAGAGAAATATTACTATATTATAATATTTAGTAATAATTATTATTTTGCTTTTATTTAATATTTTGTACATTTTTATTTCGTAATAATAATAATACATATCAATAAATAATAAATATGTATTTAATTTTTTCTAATAATTGTTTTGCAATTTGCAATTTTGTTTAAAAAAATTGTGATTACAATTTAAAATTTTTGGTTTTATTCTGATCCTCGTAATCTTGTCCAAATTACATTTTTTAAGTGTTTCAATTCAAATAAAATAAAAATAAGTACTAAAATATTTCTAAAACGTGTAACATAAATTTTTATTGCAAATTTTTATTATTGTATTTTTATACATTAACAGCAAATTTGAACGACTACAGGGAATTTACCCTTTTAATAGTTTTTATTCATTCTCAGATTATTTCTGACTTTATTATTAATTTTGTTATTAATATTTTTATTACACTTTAACTTATCACTCTACTTAATTTTAAATGACTACAGTGGAGTTAGTTTTTTATTCTTTTTTCTTAATTTACCATTTTTATTTCTTTATTTGCAAATTATTTTGGAAGTCAAAGCAGTACACTACAATTAAAAAAAATTTAAGAAATTAATATTTGTATTCAGCAAGAATGCATTAAATTGTTCAAAAGTGACTGTAAAGACATTTATAATGTTGCAAAAGATTTATATTTCAAATAAATGCTGTTCTTTTGAACTTTCTATTCATCTGTGAATCCTGAAAAATAAAATGTAGCACTGTTTCCAGAAAAATATTGGACAGCGCAACTGTTTTCCACGTTGATAATAATCAGAAATGTTTCTTGAGCAGCAGATCAGCATATTATACTGATTTCTGAAGATCATGTGACACTGAAGACTGGAGGAATGATGCTGAAAATACAGCTGCGCATCACAGAAATACATTACAGTTTAACATGTATTCACATAGAACAAAGCTATTTGAAATTCTAATAATATTTCACAATTTTTATAGTATTTTTGTAAAATAAATGCAACCTTTGTGAGCATAAAAGACATTACATCTTTCAAAAACATTTAAAAAATCTTACTGACCCCAAACTAGTCTTTCCTGTGGTTGGTCTGAAACAGATCGGCGTTATTTGAGCCTCAGCCGAGGGTTTGCAAATTCAGCATTTCAAAACTTCACTTCTAATGATTGTAACTTTTGAAAGCTGCTGTTTTGTTTGAGTATGTGTGTATGTATTTGGGTTTGGCCGCTTGCAAAAGCATTGCCATGAATTGTCAAACACGTGAAACTTTCCCGTCCTGCGATTTGCCCTTCGAGGGCCGTTCTGGAAATGAATACGAGGCAGAATTTCCCGATTCTGTCCCGAAGCGACAACAGGCCTCTCCTCGGAGCTGAATTACAATTACAGGCCGACGGAGTCACATATAAATCACGCTTCACAGTCTGTCAGCCGTAATGTGTTTGCACCTTTAAACTTAAATAAGCAGCGCGCAGGAGATCCCGACAGCGATAAAGACGTAAAAGAGCCACGAGAAAGAGAAATGGGGCTATTTGAGCCCGAGCGAGTGCGGATGGGTAGACGTGGCCTTGAACACTTTCCAGACGCATCCGACCCACTGTTAGCGCTGGCTCCTACTTTAAGAGCTTTTTGTTATTCAAGTCAGAATATATAGAAATTAAGGCTTTGGGAGAGAATCCAGGACGCTTTCTGATTGTGTTCATTGGCAGAGGGAGTCGTTTCTATAGTGAAGGAGAGGCAGATGATTTATTTTTATTTTTATAAGGGACCGTTTTGTTGTTCGTTTGATTCAAGTGCCCAGTGCATTCTGGGAGATCCTCAAAAGGTGTTATATGACACACTTGCAGTGCATTGACCAGCATTCACTGCGTTTGCATGCTTATGGAGCGTATTTCTGTCTTAAGCGCTTGTAATCTGTTCTTCAGCATTAAACATGTTAAACTGCGTCTCTGATTGCTGCTGACACTTTTATAAGAAGTTTAGTAGGTGCAGATGTCAACATGTTCTTACTGTAGGGCCCTTGACCTCACGCCTGTGGACTGAGTCTGTAGAGCTTCACTTATAATGTTGGTTAATGTTTCTTGCACCAAAACAGATATTTTATCTTTGAATGATCATTTTCCACCATATTATATATAAGGCTATTTTTCTACTGCACCTTTAAGACTTTAAGATTATATGCAAATGATGTCTGTTCTGATTGGCTGACACTGCATCAGTGTTTTTAACTAAAACTATTAAAAATTGTTTTTGTTATAAATTTGAAATAATATATAAACTTGAACGTTTTTTCAGTTAGTGCAACATTTCTAGTTTTTTTTTTTTATTCTAAACTTAAATAGTACTAAAAAAGTAAAACTAACGTTTAAAATAAAAAATAATAATAAAAATGACAAAAGCACATAACAAAAAAATAAGTAATGGTGGTCACTGAGATACTGTTATTTTTATGAATTCGTTTTTTATTGTATTAGTTTTTATAAATATTTTTAATTTGTTTTTATTTATGTATTTTCTGCTTTCATGTTAATTTTAAAGTTTTAGTCATTTTGTTTTGCTGTTGTTTGTTTTTTAAAATGTTTATATAGGTTTATTAATTTTAATTTTAGTTAAACTAATTTTAGTTAACTAAAATGTTTTGCCTTGGCAACTAGTTGAAATATATATATATATGTATGTGTGTGTGTGTGTGTGTGTGCGTGCATGCGTATAATTTATTTATTTATTTACTTAAATGGTAAGAACTTCAGTTAATCAGTTTTAGTTAGTTAACTACAATAACCCTGAATACTAAATATAGTACTAAAATTACTTAAACTAAAACTTAAAATATATTAAAGCTAATAGTAATTAATATTAATTATTTTAAAAAGCTAATAAAAATGGCAAAAGCCTGTAATAAAATTAAATCTTAAACTAAAATTAAAATAAAAACTGAAAATATATAAAAATAAAAGCCAATTCAAAATCTAAAAAAAGAATACTATAATAGTATATAATACTATAATGTTATATAAATAATACTAAAATAACACTGCTCTGCATACATGGCATAATTCACACAGTTTTTCATCAGTTTCTGAAAGCTGAGGGGGTGTATAATGCAAATGTGGGTGGGTCATATGTTAATGAGCTCATAGTTGTGATTATCCTGAAGATTTAGCCCTGTTTCCATGAATACATGCCTCTTTAACTCTCTCTTATTGTTCTCTGTGCTCATGGCAGTGGCTCACGAGCACCTGAAGGAGCGAGGTTTGTTCGGTTTGCCCCCTCCGCCTCCCGGCGCTACCCACGCAGACTATTATCACCTGATGACCGGCCACAGAAACCCGTACGGAGAGCTGCTGATGCAGGGGGCCGGAGCCGCCGCTCACCTGCCCGAATACTTCACTCCGGTGGACGGTGAGTTCCACAGACACACAAGCATGCACTGTAAAAAATGACCGTGAATTTAACGGTAAAAGACTGTAAAAATGCGACAGTAAAAACCTGTTAAATGGTTAACGGTAAGTTCCCCTACTATATACGGTGAAAAACTGTATTGGACATTACATGTAATTTTACTGTAGTATACCGTTTTTGTAAGTGAAAAAGAACGTATCATTTACAATGGATAACTGTAAACCGATTTTACATTTCACGTTACATTTCAAATTTGATGTTTTTTTTGTTGAATTAAATACAGAGTTCTGGCATGAAACTCTAGATGGTGCAGTCCGATAGGTCTAACTCAGTCAGACCTAATGACATCATTATCACGTGGCACAGCTGATTGGTTCTCTCCTGTATCGGTAGCCAATGAGCTCGCTGCTCAACATTCAAATATATGACTAGTGCTTGCCGTAGCAGTCGCAGTTTGCTTCAGAAACCCTCCACCTTCCCCAGCTCCACCTGTGTAGATCTGCTACGAGGGGATTCACGTATGCAATATGGGGGTTATTTCATGGATGTTATATTTGCAGCAGCAATATTTCTTACATGCTCACAGCAGCATGTTGTGGTATTGGCAGTAGCAAGTCTCGGTACTTGCTCTGCAGCAGCAGCAGCGGAGCAGATCTATTCCGCCAAGACCAAATACATTAACATTGTCACGTACATTACCATGCCAATCCCTCTGAGAGTTGTCATGACAGAACTATGTTTCTTCTTAGTTTTTTTTTTTAATCAGTTTTGTATATTAGGGTTGTATGTTACATCTAATGTTGTTAAATTAATGTTTATTGCATTATCTCAGTTTCATGTGTGTTACCGTGATGGTGTTTAGCGTTTGTGTGAATGACACTGCGCACCTTCTGTATATGTTATTATTTAAAAGCTGCTTGTGATGGGCTTTGGTTCATCATGTGACTTTCTCATCACCTCCTGCATTTGGTGGTTATCAGTTTATTACAAAGATACAAAACAGATTTCAGTACTTAAATAGGTTGGTATATTAACATTATATCAGTTAATGAAAATACGGTATTTAAATGTAAATTTAAGTTAAAACCATAAAACCTAAAATGTTGCTACCTTATTTTTTACAGTAAAATTCAGACAACCACAGCTGCCGTTTTTTAACCGTAAATTTTTTACAGTGTGTGTTTGTCTGTATAACTGTTAAAATGCATGATATTTGTTGTGCTAAGAGAATCCACATTTGTTTCCATTTCCATTTATTTATTTAGCAGATGCTTTTATCCAAAGCATCTTTCCAGTATAATACTTATTATTATCTTTATAAACACACATTTCTCTAAGATTCACACACCGGCAGACAGTGAAATAAATAAACTCTCATGTTCAGCATCCGCTTGCAGCTGACGCTCTCCAAACACTGGCAGGATGCTTCACACGCCAGACGTTTCTGTGTTATTTCTCCTCTCGAAGGAAGCTTTCTGTCATCCAGCGCTTCCTAAATTGCCTTAATAGGAGAATGTTTTTTATTTAGACATTTTCTGTTCTCATTTTAATTTCAGTTAGTAGTAGTCATTTCGTAATTTATTTATGTATCTATATATTTTTTATTCATTTTTAAATCAGGTTTAGTTTTTGTTATTTTAGTTTTTTAAAGGGGTCATCAGATGAAAAATTAACTTTTACATGTTGTTGTTCAAATAAATAAATGTGTGTTGGCAGTGTTTGTACACATCCACCCTATAATGATAAAATATATATAATGATATAAATAATATCCCCTTTCTCAAATCAAGCCGTCCTCAGACCCAGGCCCCTCCCATGATAAGTGTAAGGTTCTTTTATGAATCTTTGCAAATCGCCTTTTCTAATAATGTTCTAGTTAGCAAGTTCCGTGGCTAAATTCGGCTAAAGTTTACAGTCTCGTGAGAACGGCTCGTCACCCCACGGAAGAGAGGGGCGGGGTCAGCAGAGCTCATTAGCATTTAAAGAGACATGCAACAAAACGGGTTGCTGTGTGCAGAGCTGTTTTTGACAGGGTAAAAAGGTGTTTTTTACACTACCATTGAGAAATTTTAACCAAAGTATGTTATAGACTTTTCATTAAGACCCTAAAGAATCATACCAACTTGTGGAAAAGGGGCATCTGATGACTCCTTTAAGCTTAAATAGAACTAAAATATAGTACTAGTACTGCTATAGTTTTTATTATTATTTTGAATTAGTTTTTCATTTAATATTTTCTTTTAATTTTGATTAAAGTTTAATTTAGTAATTTTAATTATTTTTTACATATATGTTAATTTTTATATCAGTTATAATTTTAGTTCTAATAGTTTTTAAGCTTAAATAGAACTAAAAATGGTACTCGTACTGTTACAGTTTTTATTAATATTTTAATTTAGTTTTTATTTTCATATTTTCTGTTGTCATTTTAATTGTAGTTAAAGATTTGGTAATTTTGATGTTTTTGTCATTTTTAAAAATATATACAGTTTTTTTCCACTTTTATTTCAGGTTTAGTTATTTTAGTTTTTAAGCTTAAATGGAGCTAAAACAAAATAGTACTAGTACTGTTATAGTTTTATTAATTAGTTTTTTATATTATATATGTTTATTTTAGTTAAAGTTTTTGTCATTTTGTGGTATTTTGTCATTTTTATTCATTTTAGATTTTTAAATATATCTATATAGTTTTTATTCATTTTATTTTTATTCATGTTATCTTAGTAACTAGTTATTTTGGCAACTAGCTGAAATAAAATAAGTAATTCTTTTACTTTATTTATTTTTAGTTACCCTGTTTAGGACAGACAGGAAGTGGACATTATTCTGTGGGAAGAATAATGCAGCGGTCCAAATGAGTGCCGCT